CGCCTTAAAGGAGGTGCCGCCACTAACCCTCGTCGCAGAACGCGATACCTTCCCAAATATCGCTTCAAACTGCTAATGCACGATCCCATCTTTTCCCATCTTTTGCTCATTTATAGGCCACAGCGTGAAGCCTAATTTATGCAACTACCAAACCAGTAAAAGTGTTATATTCACATTCCCTGCATTGTAATGACCCTACTAGGAGCATTTATCTTATTTATTTCACAATTGCATAACCAATATGATCCGGTATAACTCTGGTTATGCAGTCAGATGTTTAACACTCAAGTTCAGGGGAAGCGGGGAGGGGGAGGGAGCGTGGTGTTTTGATTTAGGCTCGTGTTGGGCACGGTTTTTTTTTTCTCTCTCCAAAAGATCGTCTTAACACCCATTGTCCCAAGGCCATTCATATTCCGCAGGCGTTCGGTTATGATTAATAAAGGTTGGCACTTTCATCAGCATCCGGCATAAATTCAGGAACGACACGCAAATTAAACGGAAACCTTTCCGTGGGTGCATTTTGCTTTGCCACCCCCCCCCCCCCCCCCGTCACGCTACGTCCGCCACCACCGCCGTTCTGTGGCCCGTGACCTGCGCCGAGCCATGCGTACGCGCGGCACCTCCCAAACGACGGAACGGGAGAGGGAGGTTGCAGCGTGCGTTCTTCCGTCGGGGTCGTGCGGTCGAGCCGCGGCGGTCGCAAGCAGCCGTGCACATTTCAATACGATCGTCTGAGCAACTGCGCACTGTTAAATCGAAAACTAATTTCTGCACGATGAGGGAGCGGGGGACGTTGACGTTGATGGTGCTGGTAGGGATGTTGCTGATGCGGCCGTCTGGAACGCTCTTCCTTCTGGCATTAAGAAGCCACTGGAGCTATGCACTTTTAAATCAAGATTGAAAACTCATTTCGTTGGAAGTGCTTTTTGTGTTTAGTTTGTTGTCCTTCCCCCACACCTCCAATTAGCACGGTTGGCTACGTACGATGCGAAAGAAGTTCAACATACATACATGATGCTGATGGTGATGATGTTAATGTTGGTGGTGTTGAGGAGGTAGCTGCATGATGAGGAAGTGGGGGATTTTTATGTTGATGGTGGTGATCGTGGTGATGAGTGGTGATGTTGATGCTGCGGCCGTCTGGAACGCTCTTCCTTCCGACATTAGGAAGTCACTGGAGCTATGCACTTTTAAATCTAGATTGGAAACTAATTTTGCTAGAACTGATTTTTGCGTTTAGTTTGTTGTCACGTCCCTCCACACCTACGTAGTTCAATATACCAAAAAAATAACAAAGACAAAGATCCCTCGTATAGCCTGTAACAGACTGTTGGGGCAAGTGCTGTTAGCGAGGACCTATGAAGGCCGGCACGGCATACCAGGGGGTGGGTGGCCAACACCACGCCCGGCCGCCTTTGTCTCCCCAGTGATGATGTTTACACACTGCACCAGGTACTCATTTGAGGCCGAGTCGACCTAGGAGAAGCCCAGGACCGGTTCAGATAATCGTCACACTACTGCTACACTACCGCTCTCCTGTAAATGCACGCACATACGACTCGGTCCAGCGGGGGCTTCCTCTGTCCAAACGGCGGGGCTTAGCGGCACGTTCGGTTGCATCGCGGTGGAAGCCCGCGGGGTGAACCCGTCAACTTGATGCAATTTAGGGTTGTCCGGGAGTCTCGTGCGAACTCTCTCCGGCGGGGTCCTTGGGTTCACCCCGTCGATTTTGAGCCCCCGCCCCCACTCCCCCCTTGTCCTGCGCTCTGCAGCCCCAGTGAAAGTGCCACTTCCAAATCAGTTCCCACCATTGTCCGGGAGGGATGCCCCATCCTCCTCGCTGTGTTGGCCGTGCCTTTAGGCCGCGAGAACATGGGTTTAATCTCGCGTTCTCTTAAATAAATAAATAAAAACACAGTCGGGTAATCCCCCAAACGAATTTGCCGCCGAGCAGTCCGCTCATGGCATTTTGTGCAAAGGGCGCCCATGGACCTGGGTTCGTTCCCCTTTGTTTCAAACCCAGGTTCGCTTATGAGTAAGAATGCTAACAGCAGCGCCATTTGTTTATACGGGGAAAAGCTCGACAGGGTAATGAGATTATTTGTTTTGGCTCAACAACAACAACGACAAGAACGGGGCCCTTTTTACGTTGGGATTAGGCAGTTTCTTTCGTGGGATTTTGTGCGGGATGGAAACCCCACGCACCTGGGCAATACCCAGCATGCATAGACAAGGGAGGGAACACTCCAAGTTCTACAGAGGTAGATTAAATCCCCTTCCTCGACCACCATCTCTGGGACATCTGGCAGCCCAGTAGGTTTGGCAGTTTCAAGGATGTACGTGATCCAACAACCCTTGCTTCCACAGCGCTGGATCACAGGAATGTACTATCACACCCGGCTAGAGAGGAATGGGGTTTCTGTTTGTTCTGTAAAATGTAATATCAAAAGATGCGCTCATCCTACTCAATGCAAATACACTTTAGTTTAGCAAATATGATTTTTGCTGCTGCTGCTGTACAGTTCGATATATTGAATCTATAGCCATCCGCCTGGCCTGCCCTGGGCAATGAAAAGTATAATCATTGTAATACATTCCAGCCATTGTAGACCAATCAATTGATGAAGGCCTTCCCCACGTTGTGTCGGTCACGGGGGATTTTTTTACCATACTTCACCATGCTCGTTTGTGTAGGGTTGGTAAAAAAGGTGGCAAAGGAATGACCGATTCTGGCATCGCTTGCCACTGATGTTAGCCGTGGCCAGGAATCACATTATGGTCACCAGCGCACAAACGCGCCCTCAGGTGGGGACGACTGCTTGTGTGGCGATTGAAACGTCGTGACCTATTATTTTTTTTTACCTACGTGACTTTACCGAAAGAACCAAAGAGTATGCCTTTATCTACCGTGTAACCGGATCACTGCCACTGATTTTTCGCGATGACAATGAACATTGGACTTCAATTCCATCCCCCCCCCCAACCCCACCTCTCCCCTTCCGTTTGGTGAGAATTTATTTTGTAACACGTGGTACAGTTGTAGCCACATTAATTTTCACTTGGCCTGCAAAAAATCTAGGCACGAGTATAACAAGCTGAGGAGTCTCCAGCGCAACAGCTCGTATCCCCATGAGACGCTGCTAAGTTGATAATAATAATAATAATTCAAATGTATAATGCGAATTCCACCCCAGTATATCAATGCGCAATGCATGAAAAGCAGTGAAACAAAAACACAACCAGGGCAATCGAACAAACTAAAGAGGGAAGGCCACTTTAAAGAGATGGGTTTTCAAAGCAGACTTAGATTTATCTACTGACTTGGATTGCCCTGATTGCAAGTGGCAAGGCGTTCCATAGCTTGGGTGCCACGCTAACAAAAGCCCGATCACCAAAATAGCGCAACCTCAACCTGGGAGTGCCGAGCAGTTGGAGATCAGAACAACGTAAGGACCTTGATGGAATATATAAATGTATTAGTTCCTCCAAGTAATGGGGGGTGAGCCCTTTTAGAGCCTTATAGGTTAATAGCAGTATGTTAAAATACACTCGGAATTTGACCGGGAGCCAATGAAGAGATAAAAGGACTGTGTAATGTGTTCAGGGAATGTTGTGTGTGTGTAAGCACTCTAGCAGCTGCATTCTGAATAGGCTGGAATCTGCCAAGTACTTTGATCGGAATCCAACCCAGTATAAGGCATAGTCGAGTCGAGATAACACAAAAAGCATGGACCAGTCTCTCCGAGTCAGATTAATGAGACGGATTGCAAGCAAATATGTCCCGGGGCACACGAGTTGTAAATGCAGACCCAACATAAATCTATGCAATTTTTTTGGACGTGGCTGGAAAAATACAACAGCATGACCCTCATGAGTTTCATATTGTAATTATGAAGGCACTTCTTTCTTTTTTTAAAGATAAGTGCGTAATACAAAACGCATTATAACAAACTTGTGTGTGTGCGCGTGCGCGCGTTTTTTAATATGTCACTAAGCCCCGCGGGAAATTTGCGTTAAAAAGACCTCATTATCACGGAGTTAAATGTGTAACCAGCGATAGGCCCTTAATGCAAATAACATTCCACGGAAGGTAATTCGGATGCTTACTTCTTCCAGAGAGCGCGCGAGTTCAATAATTGGTATGTGAATGCAAAAACTCACCAAAATTGTAAAAAAAAAAAATCTAAATGCAAGCTGCGACATGCACTCCAAAAAAGTAGTTTTTGCCTCCGAAAAGAGGGGTCCTATCTCCCCGCGGTCGCTAACGCGTTCAATTAATTTCCAATGCTTTTAATGACTTTTGATAAATTCAGTTTTAGCAGCGGAAAGAAACAGTTGAAGGTAAAAGTGGAGAGCTGTCGCAATAATAATGACAAAAAGTCGTTGAAATTCTTATGCGCTCGTGCGCGTACGGATATGCTAGGGATTCAGTCTGACGACCAATGTGCATTTGGTGCCATGCATCACCGGCGTCGATCACGAGTCCGGTGAATGCACGTATGTATGTATGCTGAACTTCTTTCGCACCGCACGCAGCCAAACATATTAATCGGAGGTGCGGGGGAAGGACAACAAGCTAAGCACGAAAAGCAGTGGTAACTCCTGGTGAATGGGTCAAACAAGCTGTCTACTGGACCTCTGCGACTTCTGATTCGGATACAGTAAAACCTTGGATTGCGAGCATGATTCGTTCCGGAAACGTGTTTGAAATCCAAAGCACTCGTATATCAAAGCACTCGTATATCAGTTGTGATCACCTGATGCTAGGCAGACAAAGCGTATACGTGCTACTCGTATTGCAAGACCCTCGCTCGTTTATCAAATTAATTTTAACATTTTTGCTCGTCTTGCAAAACACCCGCAGATTCAAGTTACTCGCAATCCAAGGTTTTATTGTATTCTTGTTCTGACTCGCATGCTCACTTTCTCACTCGCTCTCCCTCCCTCTCTGTGTGCGCGTGTGCACTCGTTGTGTGCGCGCTTCCATGCGCTCTGCGCACCTCGTTGTTGGAGAGCTGGTACCAGGGCTGCTTGCCGTAGGTGAAGATCTCCCAGAAGAGCACCCCCAAGCTCCATACGTCGCTCTCTGCTGTGAAGCGGCGGTACATGATGCTCTCCGGCGGCAGCCAGCGAATCGGCAGCATCGTGTGTCCCCCAACCTTACGGGAAACAGCAGCAGCAGCGACAGCAGCAGCAGCACATTTACTCGTGTCGTATTATTATTATTATTAATCGCCGTCAACAACGTCGGCATCTGCGTCGTCATCGTCGTCGGCCACTATTAATCCACTGCAGGGGATGAAAACTTCCCAGATCGTTGCCATCTCGCGCAGTTGACCCGCCCACACGGGACAGATGTGGAAAAAAAGAGCTTCATGGCTCATTGGGATGCCTCCTGAAGTCTAAATTAGTTCCATTTTTCCATTTATTTGGTACAGCCCTGTGAGCCATTCGGCTCTTGAATCGGGTGCAACCGCAACAAACAAAAAACATGAACAAGAAAACATCTTAAAGTGACTGTGTGTGACTGTGCAAACAGAAAATCCAGGGAAAAAACAGCAAAAATATTCCTGAGAAAGCACCGTTACATCAACGCTGCATGCAAAAATCCCAGTGTGATGCAAGTCAAACAACAACAACAACCACAAGACAACTTAGATTAAGGCCATCAGTCTAACTCCGTACTACAATAAACAAAAACATGGCCAAACAAAGTCTAGATTGGGCTGTGCGAAGTAACTGTTCGCCCAACGCCTCTGCCAACAACCGGGAGACGATTTCGCCGCTCCGTCTCCGTCGGCGGGACGCGCCCTCTCGGCCTCTCCCGTCGCTATTCTTTGCCAGTGGCAGAAAAGTGTCCTGCCCAAGGCCTACTTAACATTCCTTCACAGCTTGAAGTGTGTGCGGTGTCTTTAATCAATGCGTTCCTTCTTTCCCGTCTCTCCATGTCATTCCAAAGCTTGCTTTAGTGGGTGGGGGGTGGGGGGTGGGGGGGTGTTCTTTCAGGTACTCCGGTTTCCTCTCACAAGGAGCCAATTAAATCATTAATGGCTTTGGTCACACATCCAAATGCGAAACCATCCTTGAACCCCTACCCCCCCCCCCCAAAAAAAAGAAAGCCTCGAGGCTAAATGAGAACATCTTTGGGTAAACAGTGGTGATGTGGCTCAGCAATGAGACGTTGGCTACTTATTGTAGTGGTTCGTGGTTCGAAGTGGGCCAGTCCTACGCCTGGCTATTGCTGCAGGTTTATTAACTGCACAATGCGCGCTGTCCACTTCACGGTGGACGTTAAACATCCCCTGGAGTCAATGAGAACAGAGGAGGCCGTCGCGTTCCCGCTGCGTCGTCAAAATTTGCCGAAATTCGCCAAAATTCGAGAATCACACCGTAAATGTATCGAATGGGATTGCATGTACGTGTGTGTGTGTGTGTAAGTTGAACTTCTCTCGCACCACCGTACGCGGCCAACCGTGCTAATCGGAGTTGGGGGGGGGGGAATGGACGGCAAAACTAAACACAAAAAGCAGTTCTGAAGAAATGTGTCTTCAATCTAGATTTAAAAGTGCATATAGCAGCTCCAGTGGCTTCCTAAGATCGGAAGGAAGAGCGTTCCAGACAGCCGCAGAAGCTCGTCTAAAAGCAACCGCGCGGTGATGCGGTGTGACCGTCCTTTGTTCGATGGCCGGCGAAAAGGCGCCATTGCGAGGATGACCGACGCTGCGTGGATGACCAGAGCTACCTCCGAGATTCCACGATTTCGTCAAGCGACCTCTCTCTGGTCCAGACACAGTATGTGGGGCAGCACTTACCCCACCCCGCCGCTGCTAGGATAACCGGTGTCAGGTCATTTATTTTTGTTGTGCAGCACAGGGACAGCTGCCACTAGGGGGTGGCGATGCCCTTTCAAGCGTGTTGATGAGATGCGATGCGAGTCGCTTAATCGCGTGTAAAGCGCTGTGGGATGCCGCCCCCCCCCCCCCCCCCCCCCCCCCCCCCCCCCCCCCCCCTCCGGCGTATAGGAAGACAGACTCCAGTCAGGCACACAACTCGTTCATCATTCGATCACCGGTCCCCGTAAGCACCTCAAGCCAAAAAAAAAACAACCCCTCTCTTTTTGTAAAAAAAATTATGACAACATTTGGGCGCCCAAAAGCGTCGGTTTTCTTGAACCGTTAAAACCCCCGTGAGTAGCGTGGAGGATTTGACAACCGCACAAAGGAACTGCGTGTTTCTTTTTTTTTTAACAATGATTAAATTAATCCATCGTTTTTTCTTTCGCTCTCTCTCTCCCTCCCTCCCCGAAACTCACGTTCGTGTCAACCTCAAGGTTAATTCCCTGCGTTCGGCGGGTCATTTTGGACAGATTCAAACCCACCCACGTCTCCGCTTGTCTGGCTCTCTTTATCTCCTCTTGTCCGTAACACAAAGTAGCAATATTTCACCGTTTTTTTTTTCTTGCTTAAGCTTAAAATTGCTGCCAGCAAATGAGTGATGGGTTATGAACAAGGACCATTACGCATATTAGGCTGTGAGGTTGAAACACCCCATCTTCCAGTGTTGCACATTTCCCTGCCGCCACAGTTATAAGTATTTTTTTCTCTCCTCTCACTCTCTCGTTTTTATCCCTCTGCAAATGAATTGGACACATCAGTCACAGTGACAGGGATGGGTGGAGGGGGGAAGAAAGTGACTGACTCGCTACAAAGTTATTGAATCTTTCCAACCGTGAGCCCTCATTTGGATTCATAGCCAACAGGACGGTCTGACGGAGTGACAGCAGTCGCCTTAATTAGGCTTGGCCCGATAACCGCTATCAGCCGAAATGTAAACCGACTTTGCTTGTTGCCTGGCATAACTTTAGTTTGTTCGAATTCTTTTAACGACCGGGAGTAGAAAGGAAAATAGAAATGGGTCACGCACTGGAGCAAATACTCTCTCTATCTTGTCCACGACTAAAACGTATACCGTGGGGAGAGAGACAAACAAAAACTCTAAATATACAGGCATCAGGGGCGGGATCAAACCCACGACCTCCTGCATACCAGGCGGGGTAGTTAACATCTCACGCGAAGCCAAATGCTCAATTCACAGAAGGGACCACAAACTATCCCAATGTATCCATAATAGAGGTTTTCGGGTTAGATCGCGATATTATAAAAAAAAATTGCGTCGTTAAACCCGCCACCACCCGACACAGTAAATAAGTAAGGTTTGTTATGTAAACAGAACATACCAATTCGTTACCAGTATAGCGCACCGGTGTGTTGGAGAGCCAAGCCACAATATTTACAATCTGAGCACGACGTTTCGCCAGTAATTACAACCAGCTTCATCCTACGTGTTAAAGTACCCCAATGTAGCAGCACCCTTATGAAAAAGTCTTGAGACCTAACGAGCTTTTTTTCCGGGGGGAAATAAAACCGGCATTATTTTTTGGAACGAAACCTATGTCGTACCTTTGTAGCGTCATCACCTTACGGCGATGATGTTTACTTCCCTAGATTAGCAGATGTTATTTCCTTAACAGCCAATATGATCGCTGTGATTTGCATTCGTTCTCCAATTGAGGCACCGAGTCCCCGTCTCCCTGTCTCGCAGCGTAATTCCGAGCGTGCGTCTCTCCCACGCTTCTTTGCGCACTTTTTTTTTACCTTCCATCACAAGATATCACTCTGAATGACTTGTAATGAGTGTATCTCTCGGGGAAAGCTTATCTTTTCATTAAACCGCAGCAGAGGCAGCCGGCCTCGACTGGAATACGCGATGAGTTGCCGAACAAAAATGCACTGCTTTTTGCTGAAGGAAGACGGAGGAAATGCATGACAAAAGCGGGATAGGCAAGGTTACTCGTGCGCTGTCTTTACGAGCTAAAACAGCAAATCTGCGAGGACCCTGTTGTTGTTGCTGCTGCATCACCACAACAACTTAATAGTAGGCTGGTCCAGGTTCACGACTGAACGTCTGTGAAAAAGAGCTTCAAAGCTCATCGTATTCCTCCAGAAGGAATACATATTCTGAAAATATTTGGACAAAGCTGGAATGTGATCCAAGCCTTGATTCCCATGGTAGCTGTACCGGGGCCAAAGCGAGCTCTAACCGGGCCCCAAGCAAGCTGTAACTGTGCCCCTGGTGAGCTGTAACTGGGCCCCAAATGAGCTGTAACTGGCCACAAGTGAGCTGTAACGGCCCCAAGTGAGCTGTAACCGGGCCCCAAGTGAGCTGTAACTGGGCCCCAAGTGAGCTGTAACTGGGCCCCAAGTGAGCTGTAACTGGGCCCCTGGTGAGCTATAACTGGGCCCCAAATGAGCTGTAACGGCCCCAAGTGAGCTGTAACCGGGCCCCAAGTGAGCTGTAACTGGGCCCCAAGTGAGCTGTAACCGGGCCCAAGTGAGCTGTAACTGGGCCCCTGGTGAGCTATAACTGGGCCCCAAATGAGCTGTAACGGCCCCAAGTGAGCTGTAACCGGGCCCCAAGTGAGCTGTAACTGGGCCCCTGGTGAGCTATTAACTGGGCCCCAAATGAGCTGTAACGGCCCCAAGTGAGCTGTAACCGGGCCCCAAGTGAGCTGTAACAGGGCCCCAAGTGAGCTATAACTGGGCCCCAAATGAGCTGTAACGGCCCCAAGTGAGCTGTAACCGGGCCCCAAGTGAGCTGTAACGACCCCAAGTGAGCTGTAACTCGGCCCCAAGTGATCTGTAACAGGGCCCCAAGTGAGCTGTAACTGGCCCCAAGTGAGCTGTAACCGGGCCCCAAGTGAGCTGTAACTGGCCCCAAGTGAGCTGTAACAGCCTCAAGTGAGCTGTAACCGGGCGCCAAGTGAGCTGTAACAGGGCCCCAAGTGAGCTGTAACTGGCCCCAAGTGAGCTGTAACCGGGCCCCAAGTAAGCTGTAACAGGGCCCCAAGTGAGCTGAAAACTGGGCCCCAAGTGAGCTGTAACTGGGCATTGAAGCCCTTTAAGAATGGTCCAAGAGGCTGGCCCATTCTAAAAGGGCTGGCCAGGAAAGTCAACTTGGGTATGTCAGCTTCCGGCTGCTCTTTTTTCATTTTCTTTATAAAAAAAAATCAGGCCTGCAAAATTGAAAAAAAAAATGCTAACTTACGAGAGCATAAGCTAACCAAAGCGTGTGTTTGACCTTCGAATAAAAAAATAAAAAT